ATGTAAACACATCAATAAGAGCAACTTGGCACTTAGAAAAGTTAAAGCTTCAGGGGTAGATGACTGAGGTGACAAATTAATCCCAACGTGAGAATGACCATATATTGTTAAAAAAGTCGTTCACAATGCGACTTACAAATTACAAAATCTAAATGGTGACATCATCCAAAAGATGTGGAATACGAACAACCGAAAGGTTTATTATCAGTAGCTTGGTATTAAATGAGCTCATATTTGTACTATTTTATGAATGACACTGCCATCCCAAGTATATGAAATGCAAATTAAGTCTATTACCAGTAGATTGGTACAAACCAAGCTTGCACTTACATTTTGTACGCGAACACATAAATTAAACTATCTTTGGTAAGCTTGTGTTTAAGTGATTTGAAGAAATCTAACTTATATGTTCATCTAATCTAAGCAATTATGTAAGTCTTCAGTCCAATTATATGCTTTAGATGAACTAACCATTCTTACACTTATGCAAGTAAGAAAGAAATAACAGTACAATCGAATGAAACTTGAGAAATTTTTTCTTTCTATTTCATTAAAACAAAATATGTTGGTTGAAATGTGGCAGGTCTTTACAAAAAGCTGACCTTAAAGTCAAAAAATTTGCAAAGTCAAAAATAAAAAATTATAAAATTTATTCATCGATAGCAGTAGTAGCGGAAGGAGTACTCTCATCAACAGAAACAGGAAAGACAACCTCAACTTCAACAATCTCTATGTCTTCCTCCTCTATCCCCATGGTAACCTTCAACTCATCCTCTAGGCCCTCATCCTCATCCTCTTCTTTCTCTTCCTTATCCTTCTTAGGTTAATTTCAACAAGATCTCGATCTAATATTGTTGATGTCAATATTAGAAAGGTCAAGATTAAAAGAGGAAAATTTGAACTATACCTTGTCTTTGGCCAAGGCATCAAGTAGGTTGTTTTTTAAGAATTCCACCTTTACTCAAAAACATTTCTCAGAGGCCTTATACTCCTCTATACCTTCATCTGTAGCTCTTCTTTCTTTTGTCTCGAGCCTCAGTTCGGACCTTAGCCTTATAATTTTAGCTTGAACATCATTAAGTTTCAGTTCAACCTATTTCTTCATCGATTTAGCTGAGGCCTTGTCCACCGAGATGACCTCCAACTTTGCTGTCAATTCATCTACTTTTCTCTTTAGCTCAACCTCCTTCTTATAGGACATGCTGAGACTTGATCTGATATTGCCTAATACCTTCGAGCTCTTCTTGTGCTCTTCAACAAGGGTAACCATATCTTTCTTAGCCCTCAGTATATGCCTCATGGCAAGATAAGCATGATGAAGAGCTTGACTGCTGTTCTTCATATGCTAAGGAGATAACCTTTTTTTTTTTCTTGCATAGAAAGACCTTAAACTTAGAAAAATAAAAACAAAAAATAATAACAAGAAATCGAGCTAAGTTCAGAAAATACTCACTAACAAAAGGAACCGTGACCTTGCAGAACCTCTTAGCAACATCAAGGTTGGAGACAAGGTCATCCATTAGAGTAAACTCCAACCCCACAGATATTCTCTCCAAGCTAGGCCTCAGCACCTAACTTCAAGGTTCCAAGGAACCAAAGACAAGATCTCTACCAGTGATCTTTTGGCTGAATGGGGTAGTGTAGGTGCCGATGTGGAGGACAGGTCTTGACCTACCCTAACTTTTGACTTTCAACCTAGGGGAGTGCAGGGTGTAGTTATACTAATCACCTTGTCTCCCTCCACGCTTAGAGCCTTAAACTAGATTTTTTTTTCTCCCTTTTTGGGCCTCATGGCATGTTAGTAAAGCAAGACATCAAAGTCTTCCTCGACTTCAGCCATATCTGCGAACCAAACTAATAGTTAGATGAAAAATTAATTTAAAATAAAATCCTACGATATTATCTCAAACCTACCATAATTTTTTATCTGTTTATTACTTCCAGGGAACTCAGCCTATAAGCATCGATAACAAGCTCCCCTTTACATGTTAAATCCAAAATTTGATCTAAATTTAATAAATCGGGTATGGAGATGGCCACCAATGTATCCACAAAGAAGCCGGGTATACTTCTTATTTCCCAAGCCTTAACCTTAGGCTCACCATCTTTATTAGCCTTCTATTTCTCAAGACATAGGAAAAGCAACTTCCAATTCTTTATTGAGCTTGGACAATCGATGAGAAATTTTTAATTTGGTCAAGCTATGATATAAAATCGTTTACTATAACTAGGATGCTTTTTAAAAAAGAATAACTCCCTGAATAAAAGGAGACAAGGAAGAATGTTCAGTTATCGATAAAGAATAATAAAAGCGACAATGTACTAAATAAATTTGGAGTGAGCTGAGTAATGATCAAACTGTAAGAATTAAATATTGAAATGAATAAAAAAGGAAGTGAAACCTCAGGCCGACCATGAACAAATCCTAATATACGTAGAGTCGATATGGCTCTAGTCTATTAGTGACCCAATTTGAGAAGTTCGACATTATTATATTGTACCCCTCTTTGAGAAAAAGAAAAGTGGTACCCAAAGCTCGAATATGAAAACTGAACACATGTTAGGACAAGTTTTTGGATTTGCTTTACCCTTTAGCTCACTTATCACATCCTTATGGATCATGCTGAAGTCACATAAAGTATATACAAAGGCCTCAGTAAATTCGTCTTACTCTACAAGACTCCCCCATTCACCATAATTTTCTCCAGCCGAGGTGCTCCCATCCTCTTGTTCCTCATCGAAACCCCCTTGTCAGAAAAATCTAACTCTTGGGTAAGAGATTGATCCCAAGAAAGAACAATAGATGAAAGTAGCTCGATCCAAAAAAAATAAAGACAAGGTGAAAACCTCTCAGAAAAGGATGAGATGTCAAGAAAAACTAATTGAGGCGGGAGAGTAGAAATGGCAGGAGGTGGATAAGATTAGACCCCAGAAGGGGGAACGATCGAAAAAGAAGAAAGGTTAGCCACAGAAGATAGACCAACCTAGGAAATAAGGAAAGCAAATGGATTTTGAATTTTGAAGCCAATCTAAGCACATAAATGAATCACAACCAAATGAACTCCAATGATAATCTCAAATCCCCCTAGACAATTATCACCTTAGCAACCTTTAAGTCGATTATGCACTCATTTCACAACACATGCGTGACATCAAATAACCTTCAGGTCGGATCGTGGCTCAAAACTAGTCGTCGTCCAAAACTGACCTCCCCATACAATGTCAACCTTCAACGAAATATGTAGCCATCTGCGCCACACCGAGGACGTCAGTAATAAATTTGGCGATTTGATACTTAGACTGCTTGATGGGAGGATAGAGTGTTAGGCACATATAATGGTCAAAAGGGTATAGTGATTTTTTTCCTCTAAAAGCCTTCAGCAAACAACCAAGGGTATCTTGGTCATTTGTGTTGACCTAACATGTCAGGTCGATCTGATATGATCAGTGTCACCTCAGCTTGACCCTATTGTCACAGGTCTAGACTTAAGCTCCGAACCCGCACGACTCCGAGATCCGAGCATTCACCCTTTCGACATCCTAGATCAGCCTTCTTGCCACAGTTCACACCCTTGTGAGGTATTGTCCACTCTGGCCCCCCCTGGCCTTACAGTTTTATCCTACAAAAGGTGCCTCACAAGGCGGAAGTGGTGTGAACCCTTATATACCCAAGTGACCCTCTTATTATGTTTGATGTGAGATTCAAGACTTTTCCTTAGGTCCGTGACATTCTCTCGCACCTAACCTCGTGACGCTCTCGTCACGGAGGCTGGCCACCCTGCCTACCTCCCTCGAGGGGCTCGACGTGGATCGAACAATTTAGGGTTGGCTCTGATACTACTTATCACGGGTCGAGACTTAAGCTTTGAACCCGCACGGCTCCGGGACCCGAACATTCACCCTTCCGACATCCCGGATCAGCCTGATCGTCACAGTTCACACCCTTGTGAGGTATTTTTCACTCTGGCCCCCTTGACCTCATGATTTTATCCTACAAAAGGCGTCTCACAAGACGGAGGTGATGTGAACCCTTTTATACCCCAGTGACCTTCCTATTATGTTCGATGTGAGATTCATGACTCTTCTTTAGGTCCGTGACACTATCCTAATTGTCCCCTTTTTTATCCCTTTCAACTTACCTATAAATATGAAGACTTAGGCACCATGAAGCCACATTCATCCCATTCATCTCTCTTTTTCTTTCTTACTTTTTTACTTTTTTCCCAACCTGATCTTCACTGACTTATGCGTTGGGATGCAAATGCAAAAAACACCCCATGCCTTTGCCTCTAACTGTCATTTCCTTATACATTTACAAAAATACTCTTAAGTCTGATCTTAGCACCAATAGGTACATAAAAGATATAACTGGTAATCAAACAATCTCTATACAACAAGCTTGAAACCCATATCGAGATCTCCTTACAGCAGGAAAAGATATCTCAAAACCTCTCACGGTGGAACAGGAAGCCCATCTTTGCTCAGGACAAATACCAGAGAGAACAGTGGCTACCTTAGCCAACCAGTTGGGCACATCCCCTCTTTGACTTGGTTAGCTACCTAATCAGCAGCCATCATGCTAGTTCTCTTGATCAATCTAAAACGTTTTCACCTTGTTGTACTTGGGGTACATCACTACTGTTCTTGTTTTTCCCTATCAATAATATTCATTACTTAGGCAAAAAATATCTGAATGCATCCCTCAGTTTAGAATTAAACATATAGATTGTTTCTTACTTTTAAGATTAAACAAATTATTTTATATAAATTAAGATTAAACATTATTTGAAATTTACAATTAAAGATATAGTTTAATAAATAAATTGTTATTATTTTATTAAAGTCTAAAGACGTAGCCAAAGTTTATAAACGTTTTTCTTTATATTAAATTAATAAAATTACTTTATTATTTTTAAATAAAAATAAAATGAGAAAAATAAAAAGATAAAATTGTTAATACCAATAAAAAAAAAAAAAGAAGTTGAGATGGTCACTGCAGTGGTCGACTAGATCCTCAAACTCCAGCAACAAATTGGCGTAAATAATGCCACATCACAATATCATTTGGATTATAAGCAGCTGTTAACACATCTTTGTATCAACTACACCTCCAGTGTGAGTGCTTTGCATTCCAAACTTACCCTATATCATCTATTATAAACCTTAGTTTCCAATTAGGAGTAATGTGATAGTTGTATTTTCTGAGCCTCCTTTCCCTTCTTTTCTTTTTTTCTTTTTTTTCTTATATTTTACTAGTATATTATACCACAGGTTGCATGCAAGCCTTGCTTAATCTACTGCAATTTCAGAAGGAAGAACACAAAAGAGAAACCAACTAAGAGCAGGCATTGTAACTGCCAAACGAAAGAAAAAACCAAATTCCAAAAGTGAATGCTCCATAAAGCATATTTAAATCGATAATATAAAGATGATTATGCCACAGCTGCTTAACAAGAAGAGCCAGGAAGAGCTAGAGGTACAAAATTTCCATGGCTTCTCCGTTCTTTGAGCACTCAATGATGACATGTAAACGCTCAACAACATATCTACCAGTAACCTCACAAAAGCAATGAATCCAAAAACTATGCTTACAGCAAATACTGCAATGGCCTTATTCTCCATTGATATCTGCTTCTCCCCAACTTTTTCAACTTTCAACCTGAAATTAGTCGCAATTATCAGCACTTAGATACAGATAAAACCAACATAAATCCCACTAAACAAATTTTCAAAATTATGTAACTTAATTAGAAATTAAAGCATAACAGATTTGATGCAAATAGCCTCCTGGGCAAGGAGTCAAATGGTTTTCTTCGATGTCGACTTGATTCAAGGTTTCACGTTCTAACCACGGTTCTTCCTTCTTTTACATGATATACATATATTTGGACATAAATGAAAGTATGTGCAATCATACATACAAGACCAGCTTCTTTACTTCTCTACAACCACGTTTCCTTCTGTGTATTTCAAATTCTAGCATGTCATATTAATCAAAAACCCAATATATTTCAAAGATCCCATTTACTGTTCTATTTGTATCTTTAACAGGCTACTAAACACTTATTCTTTCTCTGCATGTTTATGGGTTTAGTGCTCCATCTCATAAGATGTTGCATCAAAATGCAAGTATCATTAGTTTTCATATCCTACTAGAAAGTATTCCATAAAAAGCCCTCAGTCATTTTTTTTTTTTCAGTCCCTTACTAGCTACCCCACATAGCACCAGCTAGAAGTCTATTTCTGCTTTTATCATTGTCTTCTATCAGGAGAAATCTCTAGAAATAGGAAAGGCTGATTGATGCAAGTAGCTTAGGCCCAAATATTTCAAGAATCCCCAACTCCAAGAAGAGAGTTTGTTAAGTTGTGTGCTAAGGCTTTGCTTGGTGGTAGGAAGGATAGAAAAGAACAAAAAAGTAAAAAATGTTTAATCTAATGGATAAGTTTCATAACTACTTTTCTACTTTATAACTTAACCATTAGATTAAATATTTGTCCATCCTTATCCATTTTCTAACTTTTTACCAAGCAAAACCTAAATGTTAAGTGACCCAAAAAAAAAACACCAAGAAAAGACAACCAAACCAGTGCAACAATTGATTATCATACATGATATTACAAGTTTGGTTCAAATTGATTTTGGTTTTTTATACCTAAAATACTGTAAAGTACAAACCAATAGTTTTCATATACAATGAAATATTCTTTTACTATTTCAAATATATATTCATAGAAAACATAAAATTTAGAAAATAGTAACTGTACAAAACTTCAAATTTTATGAAATGAGATAAAACATTACCATATTATTGAAATCACCTTTTAAAAGGTTTTGTTCAGTTATAAGCTTTCTGTTATCTTAATTCAGCTCAATTGTCTGTTATTCACGGAAAGAAGAAATATGTCAACTTTATGTTATCCCAAAACTTGTACTGAAGCAAGCCAAGTGCACCTTATTCATCAGTATGCTTATCATTTAGAATAATTTTGAAATAATAAACAAATGCCGCAGTCTCATTGCACAAATTAAAATGCAATGAAACTTGAGCAAATTAATCATTAATGGATAGAACCGACCTGAGATCAGCATTGTCTCGGAGTAAAGCATCCAACTGAACCGAAACCAGAGATTTCCAGGAAGCAACCTCACCAACATCTTTAGCCTGATAAGAGGGAAAACAAAACGATTACAATGAAATCCACCTGACTTAAACAAAATAACCATTATTGAATCAGCGAAGAGTTTTACATACAATGATCTTCTGGCTGTCATGGAGATCTTTTATATTTGATTTAATCTTCTCTAGAAGTTTATCTTTTTCTCGTATATCTTCGTAAAATTCTTTAAAAATATTGCCATATTTGGAATTCAATTCTTCTAAATACCGCTCCAAAACAGATAAATTTAAGTCTAGAGCTCGAACTTTCTGCATCAAAATTTTTAGAACACTGTCTCCAGGCACTCGGCCAACTTGTTGATGACGAATTTCTTCGACCGGATTGGGAACAATATTATTTGTAACATCAAGTTGCACTTTCGAGTTTTCTACTAAAGACTCAGATCCCATTTCCTTGAATGAACTTTGATGAACATCATCGCGATGAGTGGACTCCAGATGTGAAGGCATTTGTTTCTGATCATGCACTCCATCCTCAGGTGTAAACAGATTATCCTGAACAGAGATCAAATCCTCCAGCATTCTCTCCACTGCATCCACTCCATACACTTCAATAACACTCAGGGTACAATAAAATTCAGAACCATAATGGCTCAGAAGGTTTAACTTCAAATACCTCACCCATTTTGGTTCCTGAAGAACAAATCTCTGAGCAAGCTTCACATTGGTGGCAGTAAAGTTCCCAAGCTTAATCCAAACATCTGTAGGAAAAACCAAACTTCCAAGCAACTCAAATTCTTTCAAATTAGAAGAGTAATGCTCAAAATTTGCTATTTCAATGGTGTCTACTAAAGTTTCTTCTGAAAGTTCTATAACAACAAATTTCTCTTCTGCAGAACAGGGATTCCTTAGGTACTTGTCCTTGTCTCTGCCTAAGATATTAGAGGCACCCTTTGCTTCCTTGTTATATACCAGGACCTTCGCTCCTTTTGACGCGGAGGCATAATTGTATTCTTTACCCCCTGGCTCCAATCTATGTATTACTCCTGTCTGACCAGTACCAGATTTACTTCTAGAAATGAATGCTCGGCTCTTGAATTCGTCAAGACCAAGAGGCACAGCATGGGACAGTCTATCAGACTTTGGAGAGCTATTTTCAGATTTTACACCTGCAACAGAGCTTTCAGCATCATGTTGCTCAAGAGTAGAGACATGATTTTCGTTAGCTTCACTTGCAGGTGATTCAGCATAAAGAGCTGTGGTCTCAGCACCATTTGTACAAAAACCATCATGAGAAGAAGAAAAGCCAGATTCGTCTGCCAACCATTGACCAGGAGAATCAGAATGTTCATCGTGTCTCATCTTAGCTTCATCCCAAGTTGATAAGCCAAGGACTACAGATCCACCTATATTTAATAAAATAACAGAATTACTAGTAAGAAGACACGTAAAAAGCTTTCCAGCAATTAAACATTATACAAACAGTGGATACAGAAAAAGACCCACATTTTGTAATTTTCTAGCAAGAATAAATCAGAGTCTCAGGCAGAATTCCAAGAATAACATGAACAGTAAATAATTTTACTATCACGAGAGAATCAGAGAAATGAAACCTTGATAAAACAGCAAAGTTCAATGACAAAGACAATTATAATAAGCATTTCAGCTCCAAATTAAAACATTAATACTGATTCAGGATACAGATTAGGAAAATTCGAACGAAGTGTAATCGCTCAAAACTTATTTCCTCTTCTAGAGAATTCATATGAAATAAGAACTACTTTCAAGATTTGTCAATAAATTTGATCTAAAAGTAGTCAACAAGCTCATTACAGACGGGTTAAAAAGACAGATAGAAGAGACACTCAAATAAACATAGAAGAACTAGCATTACAACCTTAAAATATTATGCAGAGTAGCCATGTGATGAATTGGACTTTCCAATCAAGCAAAGATTAATCTAAGAGTAATCACTGCAAATCCATTTGATCCACCATGATGAAACCAACACATTTAAGAATGGCCCCATGGATGCACAATAATTATGTTTGTGGCAGATGTGGATGTACACAATCCATTTGAACAAGAAATCTAATACAAGACGAAGCACAGACACACACACGCGCGCGCACAGAGAGAGAGAGAGAACAATAAAAATTTCATACAAGATGACAATTAACTTTGCTCTGAATTGAAAAGGCTTACCTCTATAACCATCACCATGACAAAGCCACAAGCTGAAGAGGGAGAGAATTCCCCACAAAACAAAAACCAAAGACAGAGAAACCTTGTAGAAGCGGCTCCTTCCAGTAACAACCACGTCCAAAGCTCTTCTTTGCAGAAGAGCTGTACGTGATCTCTGCATAGCACATCAATCCAGTCTGCCGCAGACTGCAACGCAAGTGTAACAGGTAATAGTAAAAAGAGAATATAACTTGTAGATTCAGCAAAAAGACTATTACAAAAGCTTCAATCCAAATAATTCAACGATTGCTTCAAAGTTAAACTTCAACCACCAATCAAAGATCAACAAATACCCCAATCGAATATCTAATATTGGGTATACACAAATCAAACCAAGAAATTCTCTCTAATATACTATTGTAAAAGAAAAAAGCAAATACATGATTATCAATTTGATTTGAATTTGGATTTCTATATGTAAATCAAAAAAAAAAAAAATTACCTACTTTTGTTTATTCTCTTTTCAGCAATTTTCTCAGCCACCACCAAACAACTTAAATCCTTCAAAAAAGAGAGACAGAAACCCTTAATGAATAGCAATCAACAAGTTTTAGTTGAAAATTCTTCGAAATTCAAATTGCAAAGTGTAGATCCAATCTTAGAATCATTCAACAAATATTATTTAATTAAAATAAAATCATTCATTAACAATATATAAATCTAATCACCTGAAGAAATTCATACAGAAAGAAGAAGAATATTTGTTTGATGTGAAAAATAAAGAAGAAATCATCTGTTCAGAGAAGGACGTCAAATAGAGTATAAAAGAAGGAATGTGTCGATGAGAAGTAAACAAAAGAGAGCATCGAAACGGCGTGGTTTAAGGCGACAGTCCGCGTAGTGTGATCCCATCGGTCGCTCTTTTTATGGTCATCATTTTGGTAACGGCATGGTCTGTTTTCAAAATCAAATTAAAAAGATAAACCCTTCTCTTTCTCAGATCTCTTCTCTTTTATAATATATTTTTTTAATTTTTAAGTAATAGAAGTAATAGTAGGTGGACTTTGACGGGAATATTTGTCGCTTAGTAGAGGAGCAATCATCTTGGGTTTACCCAATCATTTCCCTTTAGCAGCTTTCATGAGTTGTGGAGATAAGAGATATATACATATATATATATATATATATATATATATAAATGCATACGAAATAGGAGTCAATTATAAAATTTTTTTATTTTATATATTTTTTAATTTTTTAATTTAATAAATTTAAGAAATAACAAAATAAATAAAATAAAATAATAGTTTATTGAAACCAATAATTAAAGAATTTACATCATATAAATTAATCTATCTTTATATATATTATATATAAATATATAAAAATTAAAATTTTTTACAAAAAAAAATATCTAATGTGGATATCTTATGATATTGACATGTGGAGAAGTTTTGTCAATCGTCTCATGCCCTGTATTAATTATATTTATTCATATTTATTTATTTTTAAATTAATATGAATTGATTTGATTTTATAAAAAATTTAAAATATTTTAATGCATTAATTATATTTATTTTTTTTAAAATTTTCAATTCACTTACCCTTTGTTTTTAATAAAATATCTTAAATTATAAATCAAAGCTAAATTAATGATATGTTAAAATTAAATAATTTTTTAATGCTTCAAAGAATTAATAAATACTATAATTACAGTCATTAAATTTTTTTTTTATGATTCAAAGAACTTCTATTGAAATTTAATTAGAAATATTATAAAAAATTTAATAACCACTATAATTATGGTCAATAATTGATTCCTTAATCAATTATTTAATACATTCATATTTGATTAAATATGATTTGAATAACAGATTTTATTCATGTATAAATATATATATATATATAAATAATATAATGATTTTATCTATTTATATAAAATTAATGATACATTATAATGTTAGATTTTTGTTTTTATTGTAAAATCAATCGTACGCTATAATGTTAGATTTTATGAATATGAGTTGTGATCAATAAGCTTTACATCCCATTTTATATATTATATAAATATATAAAAATCAAAACTTTTGATAAAAAAAAAAAAGAAATAGTTCAATGTGAATAGCTTACATTTTTTATACGTGGATGAGTTTAAAAAATCACTATGTGTTCTCTAATAAATGTATTTTATTTATTTAAAATATTTTTATTATTTTTTATAATAACATTTTTATTACTTAAAAATAATTAGTTAGACTAAATTAATTACATTTATTACCTTTTAAATATCCAATATTTTACCTTATATGAATAAGTTAAAATTAATTTTGTCAATAATACAAATAAAAATAGAAATTAAATGAAAAGCTAATTATTCATGAATATATTTCCACATCTTCTAATTACTCATAAAAAAATTATATGAAATTTAATGTATTATTTAAGGAAAGAGAAATTAACCATTTAACGGGTTGATAATAATGATTTCATTAAATTAGGGAAGATTTTATTTTCTTTTCTAAAAGTAAAGATTAGGCAAAATTTTAGAATTTGTAATTTTGAAGGAAAAATCACATTAATTCCTTTTTAATACATCTACGATAATGTCTCTTGATAATAATATAAATCTAAATATTCTTTCAAAAAAAAATTAAGTAAATTGAATTTAGCTATTCTCTAACTTTGTTTTACTGCAATTTTGTCACTATTTTCTTATAAAAACTTGATTTTTTAGTCTTGTTTGCTTTTTTTTGTAAATTTATTAAGGTTTTACTTTTTTTTTTTTGTGCAATTGTTAGGTTTTATTTTTAGAATAACAATTTTATCAACTATATATTTTAGTATATATTTTTTTTTAATAATTTATAATATAAACGCAAATATTTAATATTTTCTATATATATATTAAATGTGATGTTGCTAGATAATTCTTTTCTTTTGCAAGGTGTTAGTTAGCAAAGGCTTAACGATTTTATTTTATTTTAGGCGATTACTTCATAAGATTATGTTAATTTGCAAGACTTTACAATCAGACACCAATGACGATTGATTAATTTGGATGCTACTATACTTTGTGGCTATGCATTAGTTGGAAGCCAAATTATAAAGATTTTTAGATATTGTATTGTAAGCCAAGTTGACCTAAAATGATATAGTGAACTATAAGTAGCAAATATGTATTGGTTTCAATTTAAAATGGAAAAAAATATTTTCTAAGTTTATAGTGAATGAAGCTTTAGGTGATTTAAGGGATGTTAGTTTATAATTTTTACTAATCTTATAAAAATGGAATAAATTTCTTAATTTTGTAAAATATACCACTTATTTCATTTAACAAGTCTTAAAATTTTGGAAAAAACTTAAAATACAATTGACACTCTTATACCCAATTTTCTATATTCTTTTATATTTTCTTTTTTAGATAGACATTCTTAATTCAATTTTTTTTTTAGATAGACATTTCTAGATGTCATATTAATATGCCGCTAATTCACAACAAAAACACACACAATATTGAAATAAAAATGTCAATGGTTTGGTTTTAATGTAAGTTCAACTCTTTTAGAATACCAGATATATATATATATATGTATATTAATACTACTCCATTCATTCGAAAAAAATATACATACAATTAAGTTTTAAATTTAATATATTAACATTACAAAAAAAAGGTCCTACAATTAATAACAACTTTTATTTCCATATTGATTTTTTTAAAACATGCAACTTTATCTAATTAATTATTTATATGTCCCCTTAAAATTAGGAGAATATATATGATATTTGATTTAAAATAGTAATTATATCTTAGATATTCAATGCAAATTCACGACCTTGAAAGGAGTGAAGAGTTTTTAATTGTTATAAGCAAAAATGGAATTGTTGATTTTGTCTATTCCTTTAGAGAAGCAATTATATTGTTGATTCTTTAATAAAGATGGGAGTGGAAAAAAATATAATTATTTTATACCTATTGGTAGTAGAGTCCAAGGCAATTAGATTATATGTATTATTTTTTTTAGAAATTAGATTGTATATATTATTATGTGTTATTATAATTATTTTTTTGTTTATGCATTTGAGCCTTATCTAATAGGATTCTTAAGTTTCATAATCCTTTGGTTTTATGAATGAAATTATCTTTTTTATTAAGATATATCTTGATTTAAGATAATAACATTTTTGTTATCTTGGTTATAACATTTCATATCTTGATTTTTTTGTATTTAAGATAATAACATTTTTGCTACTAAACTTTGAGCAAAATTTTATTTTTTACCCTTGATCTAGGGGTGATAACGGTTCGAATAAGATCGAATTTGATTTTATTTTTTTAGATAATATATACAATTATGAATTTTTAAAATCCAATCATAATTGAAACTGAACTTCCATCTATCCAAACCGAATTCTACCAATTTGGTTCAACAATTTTTTAAACTTTTTTTATTTTTTTTATTATTTTAATATGATTTTTAATATATTTAAATAGATTTAGGTACAAAATAATTATTTTTATTTTATAAAAATTTTAAAAAATATATGAAAAAGCCAATAAAAATATATAATTTGGTTTGGTTCGATTTTTTTCAGTTTTTCACTTCTCGATCCGAACCTAATAAATATTTAATATACAAACTTAATCTGAACCGAATAAGAAAAAAATCGATCTAAACCTAACCAAACATTACTGTTTCAAATCAATTTTTTATTTTTTATTTTTTTCTCACCCCTATCTCTATCTGCCACACAGATACCAGCTCACTTCATCCACATGTCATCCATGTCATGCTAGCTGGCATTTATCATCCATTTAGGTGGTTATATAGTTGAAAGGATAAAAATAGGTGGTTATTTGCTGGCGTTTGTTGGCTTAAGTTAGCTTTGTTGGCTAGCGTTGATAACTAAATCAGAACAGTACACCAATTTTAAGCACCATTAACATGAAAACTTATGAAAAAAATACATGTATTTGTAAAGATAAGTCTTATGATCACGATTTGCATATAGATCCTAAGTATGAATCTAGTAATATTAGCATAAGTAGAACTGTAAATGGTTTAATAGATTTAACTTCTTCTTTCTTTCATAAATTTTTTGTAAAAATGGATACTATAGAAAATAAAGTAGATTTGCTTGTAGAAAAGATGGACCAAAGACATGTTCCTTCAAACACATCTACAAACTTTGGACCTATTTATTATGGTAATATTATGATGAATGATGAAAAACCTTCATCTTCCTTAGCAAAAAAGAAACAAAAAAAACTTAATTTCGACTCTTATAAATATATAATTGAAAAATTTAAGTATAAAATGGAAAAAACAGAAGATTCATAACAACGGATTGAGTATCTTCAAACTATAGAGACCCTTTATGAAGAACATAAAGGAATCTTTATTAAGTATAATTATCATTATATGCTTAATTATGACACAACCGGTGTTAGTAGTAATGAAGCAAATAATGATTTAATAGTTGATAATTTTGAAATTCTTGTTACTAACCTAGTAGTAAAGGATGAACCAGTTTCATCAGATGAAACTACATCAAATGATACCGATAGTTTTGAAGATCAAATCGATCTAGAACCAATCAAATTCCTATCCCTCAAACAAAGAAAAGTGGGAAGAGAAAAACATCAGAAGTTTTAACCTAAAAACTGATGATTTGTTAAGATTTCCAGATCATAAAAATCTTTTATATCAACCGTATGAAACACATGTCGTTAATCCTAGTTATATCACTTATAACCAAGAAAAGATAAAATAAACTTCTGGATCTGGCCAAACAAGTCAGGTTAAAATAGAAACCCTTGTCATCGATTCGTTAAACAAATGAACAATTGCTCAAGATGGTACTTTTTGGATCTAACCAAAGTTCCTCTCAAAGACTATGAAAAAATCATAGACGATTAGGCACAATCCATGTCTATTGTTGTCACAGGATACAAAGATCAGTGGAACAAAGAACTATTCCTCAATTATTGTTGTGGCACTTGGCACGTCCTACAATTTATCAAACTTCTCTCACCATGGGATGAATTATGTTCATAAAATTATCCTGTTTATTTAGAATTAAAATTCAAAATAGTTCATGCTGCCAATCCCAATATAAAACTCTATGATACTCT